TTTGTCTCCCTTTTCTTATGGAATTTATAGTCGCGCTGGCGTTGTGATGCCGACGACGGTAAGTTATTTCCATGTGAAAAGTATTTTTAATATGAATACATTTCGAATTATTATTGACTTGTTCCGGGGAACCGTTTACTTTAGATTGCGGAGATGGAAGCGATGAATTAAACTGTCCCAAACAAAGATGCAAAGAAGACGACTTCAAGTGCGGCGATGGAACGTGCATTACACAGAAGTGGAAATGTGACGGTGACCCTGACTGTCCTGACGCCTCCGATGAATTCGTAAGCACTTCATTCTCTGCCCGTTTTTCACCCTAGAACGGATAATTATACATTTTTTATCCTTTGCCACACACACACACACACAGAATTGCACACAAACACAGCACATTTCCATGTCAATCTGCCCGGCAACCGACTTTCTATGTAATGATAAAATAACCTGCATTGATAGACAGTGGCTTTGCGATGGTGGTATCGATTGTCCAAATGGCGAAGATGAAAGCCTACAGAATTGCCAGAATAAAACGTGCCGCGACGATCAGTTCCAATGTAACGATTTAACATGCATACCCGGCCATTTGATGTGCTCAGGTGTGGCCGAGTGTCCCGATAGCAGTGACGAGGTCAACTGCAGTAAGTTTAAATCCACACTAAATCCTTTCGTACCAATTCAAAGGGAGGGAAAAACTCTTTTTCTCTCTCGGCTTCTATCTCACTGTCTGTCTGTCTCTATTTCGAATGCCAAAATGCAATTTATTTATTCGGGTTTGTTTGATAAACTTTCCCCAGCTGCTCCGATAAGAAGATGCGACCGAGCAACTGAATTTGATTGCGGCGGTGGAATGTGCATACCAAACGCCAAAGTTTGTGATCAAAAAGTTGACTGTCCACTCGGTAATGACGAACCCAAAGATAAGTGCTCGGTGAATGAATGCAAAATCAAGAAAGGCGGCTGTGATGACAAGTGTGTTGATACACCAGCTGGATTTTATTGTGAATGTCGAAATGGGTAAGTCGGTGTGTCCAAACTACAGTTTGGCTTTACTTTTATATTTTTTTCCCGGTTGGTATTTTGTTGGAGCGTTTTTTTCTCTCTTTTGCTGTTCTCCCCATCAAAATTAAAAACATGTGAGAGCAATGCAATGTGGATAAAAAAAAACTTTTCACATTTATATACACACATAGAGTGAGAAATTGCGCAGCATCTTGAATTCGAAGCATTTTTGACCATTTTCTCGCCTTCACAGTTACGAACTTCAAGGGAACACCACATGCGTTGACATTGATGAATGCAAAACTCCCGGAACATGCTCACAATACTGTACCAATGAAGTTGGTTCATATAAGGTAATTTGTTTTTCTCTCTCTGTATCTTATTGTAGTATCGGTGCTACACTACGCGTGCTATCGCAAGCTTGAGAAAATAGTGTAGCAAAAGTTTGTGCAAAGAAGAAAACTAGTTGGATCGTTTGTTTTTTGGATGGGTTTGGCTTAAAACAAAGTTTAGCTTTTGAAATGTTCCCTCCTTCGTATATTTTGTTTCTAAGTTGCTCACTTCTCTTTTTTCCCGTGTTTTTTCCTCTCTTTTTTCATCATGATTTCCGTTTTGTTTTCCAAACTAACTATGGCACACACACACACACACACACACACACACACAGTGCGAATGTGGAAAAGGATACATGCGAGATCCACGGCATCACAACAAATGCAAAGCGACCGAAGGACACGCTTCATTGTTATTCGCTCGGCGGCATGACATACGGAAAATTTCGCTCGAACACAATGAAATGACGTCGATTGTGAACAACACAAAATCGGCCACGGCCCTCGATTATGTATTCAGAACGGGCATGATATTCTGGAGCGATGTATCGGAGCAACGAATCTATAAAGCGCCCATTGATGAAGGCAACGAACGAATTGCCGTTGTGAAAGATTCAAAAGTGACAGCAGATGGCTTGGCCGTCGATTGGATTTACAATCATATTTATTATTCGGACACAAAGCGGTGCGCGATTGAGGTTACAAATTTCGATGGCACAATGACAAAGGAACTAATCAAGGACGATATTGAAATTCCACGAGCATTGGCACTGGATCCAGTTCATGGTTTCATGTATTGGTCGGATTGGGGCTCAAATCCGCGTATCGAACGCGCTGGCATGGATGGCTCACATCGACAGATTATCGTTAACAATAACATTAAATGGGCGAACGGACTTACACTCGACTTGGTACTGAATCGCATTTACTGGGTCGATGCAAAATTGAATATCATTTCGTCGTGCAATTTTGATGGCAGCGATCGACGCGTCATTTTATATTCGTCCGAGTATTTGCGGCATCCATTTTCAATTACCACATTCGAGGATTATGTGTACTGGACGGATTGGGACAAAGCGGCCGTTTTCAAGGCGAACAAATTTAATGGCAGCGACATTCAAGCCATTACCGCAATGCGAATGGTATGTATTTTTCATGGACGAGAAAAAAGAAAAATAACGACCCTAACCACATACATACATATATGGTATATTTGCTTGAGTGATTTGTCAATTTCTTACAGCTTCAACACCCGATGACCATTCACGTGTATCATCCGTACCGACAACCAGACGGCATCAATCATTGTTCCGCTGTTAACGGCCATTGCTCGCATTTGTGTCTGCCCGCACCACAAATACTGGCGCACAGTGCAAAAATCTCATGTGCATGTCCCACCGGATTGAAACTTCTCAACGATGGACAGACGTGCATTGAAGACGGTGAGTAAACTTTAGATGGTGAAACCGCCTCACCACAAGAAAATTTGAATGGAAAATGAATTAATCGATGTGGGTGTTTTTTTTTCTTTTTCTGTTGTTCAATTTACAGTTGACGTCAAAGTGGCCGGAAACAACCAATCGAATACAGAGCAATCGTCACCACATCCAGCTGAAAGTGATTCTGGCACCGTTGCTCTTATCGCCATCGCTATACTCACAACGATATTAATCATTGCTAGTGTGGTGAGTGTTATTAATAGATTTGTATATTTCATAGCTAAAATAGTCGCAATAATATATTTTTATATAATATTATGAGATTAATCGCTAAGTTGGGCTTCAAATGGCGATCGTTCGACCGATGTCATCGGTCTGATGGAATGGGAAAAAATCAATTAAAATATTTTGCGCGTCAGGCGCATTTTCAACACATATCCTCATCAATATTATGATCATTATTTTGCACGCGTTGAAATTAACTCTATTTTGATTGGCAGCCACCAATAAACGGTCCTCATTTGAGCTTTGACTCACGACGAATGTTAAATCTTCAAATTCCATTCATTGTATGACGCTGTGTTATTAATTGACGCATTTATTTATTTTGTGCGTAAAACAGTTGCTGTTCTGGATTTATCGATACTACATACAACACCGAACGCTGACGTCAATGAATTTCGACAATCCAGTTTATCGGAAAACCACCGAAGATCAATTCAGTTTGGAAAAGAACCTGCCCACACGAGTGTACGCCAGTTCGCTTGACGATGAGGTAAGTGTATTGCGTCATTCGATGCAATTCATTCGTTTTTTTTCTTCTCGTTTTTTTGCTATTAATATACAATCGTTTATTTTTAATCATTTTGCATTCGTTTTTTGTTGTTTTTTTCTTTTCAGATACATGAACCGCTGAACAAAGAGCCGCTTAATGACTTTTTGTAAATGTGACCGATTCAGGAAATAAAAAAAGGAACACATATGTTTATCTCATTAATTAGGTGCAATCGCCGCCAAAATGCATTGAAAATATGCTAAAGAATCTCATATTAAAACCGTTAATCCTACATTCATCAGAAGAATGAAACTAAATGAAAAGAAAAAAGTGCTCATCGGAAATGAAGGGATGAATTTCCAGAAATAAGAAGAAAAAACAGAGAGAAAAAGCAGACCGAAAACCATATTTAAGCAGAAATTGTTTAGCATTATGAATTTGTACATACTAGATTAGAGTATAATATTTAAGGAAATTGTGTAAATCTTGAGTCTCATTGATTGTCGGATCGAGAGATTTTCTAGTAAAGAAGATGATGTATGCATGTATAACGAACGATGTTCGCAACATTTCGTTGTGAATTAGCCAAAATGAAGCATGATAACGAAGAAGAAGAAGAAGAAGAAAACAAAAAAAAATTCATTTAAGTAAATTTCTCTCATTAAATTTAGATGCATCCTCTTTTTTATTTACAGAGAGATTCTCTACCAAAGTTTTGTCTGTATTTATATTAAATAATTATCATCATTTTCGATTGATTCGATTTGTGTTTTTTTTTAAATATTATATGAAAAGGAAAAAAGCTTACAAAAAAAAATTAGAATTTTTTTAAAAACAAATTATGTGAATCTTTAGTGAAATTTCTTTAATTGAAGATTTATTCTGTCTGTGGTTGTTTTTTTTAAGGCATGTGTTTTTTTTCTTGAGCTGTACCATTGAGTTAATCGTTGAATGAAGATAAGCTGCAAATTCGTTCAAAGAAAGTAAAAATTAATGCAAAGGACGTAATATGAACGAAGAGAAAATGCTCAAAATCTTGTTTAATTCCATTTACTTGGTTTTAGTTACCAAGTGATAAATCGGAGAGTTAACCAAGTGTAAGCCGAATCGAATGATTCATAGAACAAAGAACGGCCCTAGATTTCGGAATGCCATAAATGAGGAAAGGGACACTTACAAGCTATATTCAAAAACTAAACTAAATAGCATAACAGATAACATGAAATGCCAAAATATTCACATTACAAGAAAATCTACTTCAATATTTAATTATTCATTCACTCAAAACAAACAAAACACAAATATGGATCTTAAACAAATTCTCATGGAACTGAATTTCAAAATGTTTGTTTTTAGGTAAAACAAAAACGAAAATAAAATGATATATGAATTTATGCCAATATAAAGAAGACAACAACAACAACAACAAAAAAAATGCCACATGCATTATTCGGTTAAAGGATAGATCTTAAATGAAATTATTATTATTACAGATATTGAAATATTGTATATTGCAGCTATTATTATCAAACTCTTATGGAATATTTGACCATAAATAAAATGAAATTAGAATCAAATTCAATCGACAAATGTGGTTTTCTTTGTTTTTACCTCTTTGGCAACTGGCTCTTTCGACATTTGTGGTTTACCTTGTGGGTGTCCCAAATCAGGTTTGTATGTCATAACTTTGACTTTTATTCTATATGACTTCAATATATTTTATTGCAAAACGCAATGTACAAGCGTAATGGATGCGATTTTCTTCAATGCGATCCATGTTCAAAATATCCAGTTTCCAGTTTCCAGTTTCATCACTTTTTGTCTAGTATAGCTTTTTGTTCGAATGCATATCCGTAAATAGGGTGAAATGGTAGGTGAAATGGTTTCTCGGGTAACCAATTCAAAAACGAAAATGAGATTTCAACGTTTCAAACGATAACGATTCAAGCGTTAGCATCAATATTTGGATGTGTATTGTGTATTGTGCACCAGCTGAAATACTTTTTCGTTGAAAAAATTCTTTTTTTTATGTTCCGTAATTGTTTTCATCCGCATCAACATTCACATGATTTTTGCTTGAAACACAAATTGAATTGAAAATAAGTTTTTTTTTATAAAATTTCAAGTTAAAATGTAATCATGAACATAAGCCGATGGATACATAAAGGCAAACAATCATGTGCAAATATTCACATTTACTTTCAATCCGTTCCACGTTTTTTTCCATGCATAAATCAATTACATAAATGAATTAAGCCTATAAATGAAAATAAAAAATACATAAAGGCGCTTAAGACTATCAAATTTGGAATAAAAATCATTTTTGTTTATAAAGCTACCCTTTTGAATGCCGTGGCATTTTTTTGGCTTGCATTTAAAAAAAGTGGGTCGATATTCAAATGTTCAAATGAGATACGTTTTTCACATTCATATGATATGACCTCTTGTATTGACTTGTTTTTTTTTAAATCGCTTGTTACAAGCGCTTGATGAAATTGAGAATGTCGGGAGGTGTCTAAATAAAAATTGACCGATTTGAGATTGAAAATGGCGCTTAAAGCAATTACTATTCCTTTTGACTTCGTTATGAACATTCGACACTAACAAATGAATCAAAGTAGAAGATGTTGATGCAAACGCCGGCTAATAAAAGTAATACAAAGAGAGTAACTGCAGCAAACCAAAGTTTTCGTTTCCACGGTCGTTGTTTCAAATTGCAAAGTACACCGATTCCAACCAACAGTCCTGCAACCGCGCCACCCAAATGTGCAAAGTGTGCCGTTCCGCCATCAACGATACCCGACTGAGCCTCGATACAGCTACGATAAAAATCGGCTCCGCAATAAATCATGAAGAAGGTCAGTTGAAAATATGGATGATACATTTCCTTCCAATTCTGAAATAATGAACGAATGATTAGCGATTTGTCGTTGGTCGTTTGTGTATAGTGAAGTGTTTACCATGATGACCGTTGCTATGTGGGAAACTAGCAAAGCGTAAACTCCAGCAGATGCGCCATGCAATTTCATTCCACTTGTAATTGAATATAATATCGAACCCGCCAACACTCCAGAGAGGTAAATCAATGTCATGCGCCACCAATGATTGACCAATTCAAGTGGGAATCCAAGACAAATCTGCATGACTAAATTGCCTATGAGATGTGCGTAATTGGAATGAATAAACATATAGCTGATAAAACGCCACAACTCCATTCGATTGCAAGGATCGTATCTAAGTACTCCCGCAAGCTTAGTGTCTCGTTCAACTTTGAATTCGCCCGTTCTGTAAAAAATATGACGAATTTTTTATTTGATTCGTTAAAAATTGTATGGATTGAAATAAGAAAACAAAAAGGTTGTACGCACTCATTGTAGCACATTGATATAAAAAAGATGATTATTTGAACTACACTGAATGCAATCATCGTGACTGGTGGTGGCCAACAGCTCATGGCATCCTCATATAGATCGTCTGTTGAAAAATCGGAACAAAAAGAAAATTTATTAGCTTCCAATTTGCAAACGTGCATTGCTTAAATGTATGTGATGATTGATTTCATGGAAGCAATACACTTTTGTTCATTAAACTTCCCAATATCGATCTCATTTTCCCAGGAACCATCATACAACACTCTAATCAAATTGTTCACATGATGGTGATTCAGTACACTCGTTAGTGAAAACCATGCAATGGAATTTTCATCAAGTGTGTATTACAATCTATTCCTTCCTTGAGTCATGAGTTTTGATACGCTAATTCAGAATTTCATGTACTTATTTAGTAGCCAGCAAATACTTCAATTTGGAATGCACGCGCCGAAATGCACAACGATGCTCACGTTAAATTAAGAATTTTCAACTCAACTTACCCATTGAATCGTTTATATTAATTCGGGATACAACCATTATCTCACAGTATTTGGATACCTAGTAGCAAATGATAAATGGAAAAGTAGGCATATTTCGGAAACCAATAATGCATTTTAATTTGAGCGTATTTGGATACCATTCGCTGGAATTTGTTAATCCTGTATACGCTTATTTGCAAAAATTCCTCAAAGTTCAATTTCTCATCGGAGTTTTCACCGTATTTCTTTTGAATTTGTGTCATAATATGCCTTCCCAATTTTGGTTCCAAATAATTCAGAAAACTTTGCAGTGTTCGTATGCTTACAACTCCGTCCTTATTAGTATCCATCTAAAGCGCGAAAAAAAATTCAACAAATCCATCATTCACCAAATCATATTTTGTACCATCCGATCTTTAAACTAACCATTGCGAAAAATTCGCGCATATTCTGATTATGTTCATTTTTAACAAACATTTCTGCGATTCTGCCCGTCTCCACATCCGACCGCATCACACTGCGCTGATACATCAATTTCGCTTCTTTTGATTGCACTGATCTGTTATTCAGTGCAATTCCATCCACACTACAAGACTTTTTAATCCTACTCATTGTATCACAATTAAAACGGTTAATTTGGAAAAGAAGCTCGTTCAAATTAAAGTCGCAAACACAAGATTATTATGTTTCACAATAATCACTAACTTAAAGCAAAAAAAAAACAATTAAATGCGAACACTACAGTAGTCAGAATTATACTGAGCGTACATTGGGAAATTCTTGATTTTTTTTATATATTTTTATGATCTTATGACTAAACCCCAAAACGTCTTGCTACTTCTGATTATGGCCATAATAAGCTACAAAATCCAGCAAAAATGTCAAGCATTTTGTTTGACTGAATAATAATATAGGGATTTTGCCCATGAGAAATTGACTCACAGCCTGATTATCAGACTATATCCGAAACTCCGCTTATGGTTATGAAGAATGTTTAACACCGTTTTGAATTTTTTTGACTATGTATCAATGTTGCATTGTGTCATGCTTTGAATATGCGTATGAAATCGATGAATCTACATTGCATGTTGTATATTTTTGAATGTGTATCATTAGTCATTCAAAAACGAGTGTCTCATCAATCATTTTAAGGAGAATGGATCGTCGCATCGTATGCATCTACTTGATGTTTGTTTCAGACCATATTCATTTCGATATTCAATTTCTGTCTTTGACCTTTTTATTGAAGCGTTCTTCATAATAATTGCAAGGCACAAATGTTTATGAATCTCGATTGAATCTCACTTGGAAAATTAATATTAACCCTTTGACGACCAAAACTGAACGGCTTGGAATTTTGCAATTCTGATTGCAGATTCGTGCTCAGCGACCCCAAAAACCTTAGTAAAAGTGTTATCAATAATTAATTTTTTTAATTGCAAATATGAAAAAAATGATGGGACATATATGTCCCATTAGTCGGTAACGGTAACTATTTCTCTATGAAAAAAAAAAACATGTCTCCAATAGGAACTACGTGTAAAATCTTTTTAATTTTTAATTTTTTTAGAATCGTTTGGAACCGAAAATGGTTTGAATTATGATTTGTTGTGCCCATTTAACCCTTTATCACATTTCGGTTCCTAAAGTAACCAGATACGCCAGACGCTATAGCTATGAAACCACTGAATATTTTTACATTCTGGTTTGGAAACGAATGTAGGAAAATGAACTAGCTTTCATTTGATACTTTACAGGCTACAATCAGCTGGCTGAATGGAAAGTTTTTTCTGTTCATGTACTGCTGTAAAAAAAATGCGAAATTATAGCAGAATTCCACATTTTTCCTCCTCTTATCTTGTAGGTTTGTTCATTCTTTTCAATTGTCAAATTGGGACTCGTAGGACCAAAACACATCAATTTAACTTTCTGCATCATTAGTTTTATAAAATTTATTTTTTTCAAGCTTTTATAGTGATTTGACACTTTTGACTCTTTCCGATTTTCTCGACAAATACGCAATTTTTCAAAAATCTAAGTATGAGGTCTTTCTCTATTTATCGTGGCACAAAACATATATCAAAATGATTCAAAAACAAAAAATTGTGCATCAAAGGGTTAATCACGAATTTAATGATCTTTTTGTAAATTTGTGTGTTTGAAAATTCGCGAAAAATGGTTCAAATACAGGGAAATCAGTGGTAATTAGTTACCTTTACCGACCAATCGGAAACATATGTCCCATCGCGCCAAACGCAATAAAAATTTCTAAAAAAAAATTCTGGAGAAAAGTCGATTATTTTTAGAAAGTAGCGGACATTCCGCACAACATTTCAAATTTTCAGCTTTAAAAGTTGCACCGTCCAAATTATATAGGGTTTGACGCAACTTGAAAAAAAAGTTAAGATTTTTTGACTTTGATGTGTGTGACTTTGAGCACAGTGATGATAAATATCCAATATTATGGAACTTTCTGGTAGCTAAATTGAAATTATTGACGAAAAACAAAATGGGACATATGTGTCCCAAAGGTCGTCAAAGGGTTAACTATTGAATGGAAGAAAGAAAAAAGAAACGCAATTATGAGTACGAATTGCGTTCCAATTCCGGCTTCAATTCCGAGAAATATATCTATCAAAAATGATTCGTTCGTAAAATATGTCGCAAATATTTTTCAACGCTATGAACAAATCCAAATCAAAAAGATCTGTTGATAGTATGATTCAACCGTAATATAGGTATGACGTAGCACATATTTTGCAATAGGTATTGAGTCATTGTAGATTTTATGAATGAAAATCTATACTGTTTGCAATAAAAGTTCAATGATATTGTGGAGTTTAGCAATCACAGCGTTTATCTTGGAATGAAGAATCAGGAGTCTATAGACTGAGATGTATACATTTCTGTTGCATTGGTGATAAGCGACATGACAGCATTGTAAAAAAAAATGTCGGTCAGAAGGGAAGTTTAACCGGGCTTGTATGAGTAAAAATATAAATTAAAAAATCCCTTTTTTATCTCTATCGTAGAACTCGATTAAGAAAAAATATCACAAAAAAGTCAAAAGAGCGTTTAGAAAGTAGCCGCGGCTACTGTTGCTACCTATGAATAGAGTGGTTTTTTGTGATTGAACTGAATGCGTCATGGTGATAGCATCACAAGCTAGACCACAAGTGGGTTTAATCCGTTCAATTGAACGTGATAAGTCAAAATATTGAGGCTTGTCAGCGCGTGTTATTGTACTTCTACGAATATTGGCGTATTGTCGCATCTTGAAACGCAACGGCAGGTGCGGTAAACCCTGTTCACTATAACACACACAAACACAGAAATGATGTTGCTATTTTTTGCGTCGAACGAGTTATGACTCACCGTATGCAAGTTAGTTCGGAGAATTTCTACTATTTTCAATTGAATTGTTTTAACTATGGTCAGTGCTCGTTGATTACTTTACTGCGTAGTAAACGAATTTTTTTGTAGACGTTTTTCATGTATTTCTAAAACCACAATCAAACAACATTGAACTGCGATAGCACCACAAATCAAAACAAAAGCAGAAACAAGTGGAATATTCGGCTATGTCGGAAATAAAAATGAGCAAATTGATTAATTTCGGTCGTCTGAGTGCTTCTAAGAATGATAAGCGCACAACATCTAAGCGGCTCAGCATTAAAATAGCGCAGCGTATTTTGACGATGAATTCTGTGAAGTATGAGATTACGGATACATTTACTTCGTCTTAAATTGATTCCAACAATGAAATATTAAAACTAGCGGTGGAGTGAAGATAATGTAGCAATTGGTTCGAAGAACGGCCTAAACCATGCATTGATGCCGTGCAATTATGAATTATTGATAATTCAGAAACTGTTAATCATAATAATAAAATCGATAGAATTTTCAAAGACTTGTTCTAAGTCTAAAACCGGAATATTTCATTTATAGAATGCATTTTTAATGTTTAACTACGGAATTAAAGAAACAAAAGCGCCTCATGTGTAAGAATTTGTAAAGTCATTTTTTATTGTTTCCATTCATTCTTGTGCATAAACGCTTCGTGATCGATACAGAAATAATAGCGTAGCCATGTGAATATAACCTGGCTCTGGTGTTTATAAAATTGTGCACGCGACAAACTCTTTTCGTTGTGATATAGTACTGTTTTTCCGTGTGGATTGAAATGCAAAATTTAACATTAATATAAATAAATCACGACATGAAACAACTATGACATGAAATTTTCTTACTCAATAGAAACTAGATCGTTGTTCTCTAACATATACTATACTCGTTGCTTGAGTATTTATACAATTAATCGATCGATATATTGTAATACGACTTCAACCCTAAGAACAAGGAAGAGAAATCATCCCGTAACCTCAATAGAATCCCTCAAATGCAACATTTGAAAAATCTCTCCTAAAAATGCTTTTGGCATTTGATTGTGTAAAAATAGACACCAAAAAGTTTTCTAAAAAAAAGACTAAATATGAAAGATACATTCTTAAAATACTAATGGCTTATCGGATTGATACAAAGTCATTCATTTTTTTTCAAGCAGAAGTTGAAAACCAAATCCTCCACCTTTGCTCACGTCTGCAGGAAATGTTGGTCGTAGAAGATGTGAATGGAAATGCCGGTTATCATCAAGAGGAAGTATAAGGTTACAGCGCACCACCACAACCAGCGCTCCCATCGCCGAACTTCGAGGTTTTGAAGCACACCAATACCGACAAGCAGCCCAGCAATCGCACCACATAAATGTGAGACATAACCAACTTGGTCATAGATATTGTTGAAGTAACGCCAGGCAGTGAAACCAAAATCAGTGATGCAAAAGGTCAGGAACAAGAATAATTGAACGATAGCGTATTCCATTTCTTTCCAATTCTGAAAAATGAAAATAGAGGGATTTAGTCCATGCATATTTAATCTCGCATTTTAATATTGGATCTTACCATAATAATTGTAGCGATGTGTGCCGTGATTAACGCGTACACGCCACCACTAGCACCAGCCAAGTAGATATTTGGGCTCACAATCGACGTTCCCATCGAACCAGCCAAGACACCGGCCAGGTAAACAAGTGCCACACGCCACCAATGATGGACCAACTCGAGTGCAACGCCCAAAAATAATTGAATGATCAAATTCATCATAATATGCATGACGTCAGCGTGAACAAACATATATGTAATGAACCGCCATGCCTCAACACGACGATATGGATTGTAGATAAACAAAGCAGCCGGCCCATTTGTATTCTCACCGACTGGTTTACGGTTGTATTTATCCTCACTACAGTAAAACAACAAAACAAAAGGCAGTTTTAATACCAAACCAACGACAATTATTATCGAATAAATCGTTGAAATTTCAACGTACGACTCACCTAAAGTAAATTATATCGACCAAAAACATTATTATTTCAACAATCGAAAATGTAATCATCGTTAACGGCGGCGGACAAACAGTCATGCTTCGTTCGTAGGCACCATCTGTAAAAACAAACAAAACGCATGATAATTCCTTTGTTTACTTTGGTTGGAGATTTCGCAAGCGAAAAGAAAGCGATGATTCACAATGATGAGTCAAATGAATGCATATTTCTGGTATGATGAAAGGCAGACGATTATTCAGTTAGACGATGAAAAAAATATATGACCAGTTAAAGATATAAATTGAGTTTGCAACCACCCCATATTATTGTATTTAGTTTGCTTTAAATGTGTGCATGAATGAACGCATGATCACAATGGAATTTCCATTGAAGCAAAGCGATTGATATAGATGAGAAGCCATTAGCCATATAAAGCACGTTGTAATAGTAACAAACCTATTGATTCGAAAGATAGCTGCGATTGATTAAAATGTAAGATGTAAAGAGAAATTATTGGTATAAGAGAAAGACACGCATTTGTGGCGTGTTTTATCCTTACCAGTTTCATCCGCTTCGGGACGATTTGGTGACGGTACGATCATTTTGCAATATCTGAACACCAAATGCGAGAAGAGCCATTTCTGTCTCAAACTGAGTTGATAGAACTCTTCAAAATTGAGAGCACCGTCGGAATCTTCGTCCGACATCCGAAAAATATGTTCGGCCAGATATTCGGGTAGTCGACATTGCAAATTTTTGATGTGTTGCTTCAATTCGCGTATGTTCAAGCGACCATCGTTGTTAGTGTCCAGCTAAAAAGAAAGGATTTTAATGCAATTGCTTCATTTGAAATGGTTTCAGCTAAGCTAATTAGCTTTGCCATCTTTGCAGAGATAGGACAAAACAATCCAGAACTAAAAAGACCAAAAACATCAAATAAAATCAGAGATTCTAACCGATTCGAAAATTTCACGCATTTTTCGGCGGTCAGCGCGTTCTTCTTCTGAGGTCATTTGTTGTAAATTGTTATGCTCTTGATCCATCTCTTGTCGCAGTCTTTGTAAGCCCTTCAAATCATAGCTCACCATTTGTTGCATTTGAACTTGTTGCGTTTGTTGCGCCATTTTGTCAATTTGTTGCGAAATTCCGTACACACGATCAAAAAATAAAGCCGTTCACCGAAAACGAATTCGTTGTTAAGGATTTAAGCCGAAGAGTTTTTCGGTTGAATCAATTAAGTGATAATTTTTGTTTAGAATTTGAGATAATTTTATATATAATAACAATATAATCGAATTCTCTCATTTCACTAATCAATGAAGAAGTAATCGATTTTAGATCGATGTCATCCTACAATGGAATGCGTAGAAAGAATTTCAAAAATTTCGTTAGATTCATACCGCACGCAGCATTCCGTTGTGGTTTTGCTTTATCGGTTCACTCTTCACATTTGCGATCTTCAATTGAACTACGTAGTATGTATGTATACATTTCTGTTGCATTGGTGATAAGCGACATGACAGCATTGTAAAAAAAATGTCGGTCAGAAGGGAAGTTTAACCGGGCTTGTATGAGTAAAAATATAAATTAAAAAATCCCTTTTTTATCTCTATCGTAGAACTCGATTAAGAAAAAATATCACAAAAAATTCAAAAGAGCGTTTAGAAAGTAGCCGCGGCTACTGTTGCTACCTATGAATAGAGTGGTTACTTGTGATTGAACTGAATGCGTCATGGTGATAGCATCACAAGCTAGACCACAAGTGGGTTTAATCCGTTCAATTGAACTACATTCAAATCGACTATTGGGTTGGGTTCTCCAATCGAACACAAATCGTCGTTAGGTGTTTTTGTAGGTTTTTGCAAACTATTCACCATCACTTTGTTCTGTATTGTAAACACTTTTGTGTATAATTTTACGTTGGGAAATTGTTTGGATAATTGACTGACTGATTCGATCTGTATCCGCTAAATGACACCGACAACACAAACCGTCGTCACAACAAAACAAGAGCTTGGTCTGAACTGAAAAAGAGCTTGTTCTGAACTGAAGGCACATCATTGCGTGTCTTCGCTTTGCCGATCTAGCAATCCCATCCACACTACAACACTTTTCAATCCTATTCATTGTGTCACAATTAAAACGGGTGTTAATTTGCACAAAAAGATCGTTCATTAAAGTCAAAATATTATCATGTCCTTCAATAAGCACTAACTTAGAGCAAAAAAAACATATTAAACAATTAAATGCAAACAAGAATGCTAAACAACGCATTGATGCCGTGCAGTTATTGACTAGGTTATTGATAATCATAATAATAAAATCGATAGAATTTTCAAAGACTTGTTCTAAGTCTAAAACCGGAATATTTCATTTATAGAATGCATTTATAATGTTTAACTACGGAATTGAAGAAACAAAAGCGCCTCATGTGTAAGAATTTGTAAAGTCATTTTTTATTGTTTCCATTCATTCTTGTGCATAAACGCTTCGTGATCGATACAGAAATAATAGCGTAGCCATGTGAATATAGCCTGGCTCTGGTGTTTATAAAATTGTGCACGCGACAAACTCTTTTCGTTGTGATATAGTACTGTTTTTCCGTGTGGATTGAAATGCAAAATTTAACATTAATATAAATAAATCACGACATGAAACAACTATGACATGAAATTTTCTTACTCAATAGAAACTAGATCGTTGTTCTCTAACATATACTATACTCGTTGCTTGAGTATTTATACAATTAATCGATCGATATATTTTTATATAACTTCAACCCTAAGAACAAGGAAGAGAAATCTTCTCGTAACCTCAATAGAATCCCTCAAATGCAACATTTGAAAAATCTCTCCTAAAAATGCTTTTGACATTAGATTGTGTAAAAACAGACATCAAAAAGTTTTCTAAAAACAGACTAAATATGAAAGATACATTCTTAAAATACTAATGGCTTATCGAATTGATACAATGTCATTCATTTTTTTCTAGTAGCAGTAGATAGCTTTTTCGGATTTGATAAAATGTCATTTTTTAATGTAAACGTTTGTACGATTTGTTTACTGGTACTGTCCTTTGAACGGTTTGTAACGCGGGAAATGTTGGCCGTAGAAGATGTGAATGGAAATGCCGGTAATCATCAAAAGGAAGTATAAGGTTACAGCGCACCACCACAACCAGCGCTCCCATCGACGAACTTTGAGGTTTCGAAGTACACCAATTCCTACGAGTAGCCCAGCAACCGCACCACATAAATGTGCCACATAACCAACTTGATCATGGATATCGTTGAAGTGACGCCAAGCAGCGAAACCAACATCAGTGATGCAGAAAATCAGGAACACGAATAATTGAACGATAGCGTATTCCATTTCTTTCCAATTCTGAAAAATGAAAATAGAGGGATTTAGTCCATGCATATTTAATCTCGCATTTTAATATTGGATCTTACCATAATAATTGTAGCGATGTGTGCCGTGATTAACGCGTACACACCACCACTAGCACCAGCCAAGTAGATATTTGGGCTCACAATCGACGTTCCCATCGAACCAGCCAAGACACCGGCCAGGTAAACAAGTGCCACACGCCACCAATGATGGACCAACTCAAGTGCAACGCCCAAAAATATTTGAATAATCAAATTCATCATAATATGCATGACGCCGACGTGAACAAACATGTATGTAATGAACCGCCATGCCTCAACACGACGATATGGATTGTAGATAAACAAAGTTGCGGCTGGTCCATTTGTATTCTCACCGACTGGTTTATGGTTGTATTCATCATCACTACAGTAAAACAACAAAACAAAAGGCAGTTTTAATACCAAACCAACGACAATTACACTACTCAACAAATTTCGAAAAAAAAAAAATCCTCCAAAAGGAGAAGACTCTTTTTCATGGTTTTTGGGGCCGCTGAATCCGAATTTGGCCTTGGTTTGGCTCTAGCAGCTCTAGTTTTTGAGATATAGCACAGGTGCGATTTTAGCATATTCAAGGTACTGTTGTCTCGAAAATTAAATATTTTTGAAATAATATTCTACAATGTAATAGTAGATTCTGGTAGAGGACCTCAAAACCTTCTATTTACGCTCCTATTTGTCTCAATATCTCGATTCTGTCCAAAGTTATAGCACTTTTTGTGAAAAGTTCAATCCAAAAACAAGACGTTTGGTCTACTTTTTAGCGCTTTGAGCCACTAGAAATACAGCATATCGTTGTGTTTGGTATAGTTTCAGTCTTGAATGTTGTAGAGGAAGACTATACGAAGATTTTAAGTGCTAGATGGTCAAAATTTGTGCACTGGTTTGGTGAAAATTCGCTGTCAAGAGTATTGACTAAGTTGCAAGTTGAAGGAAATTTAATATCAAATGGAAGGCTAAAAAACACACTTATGTTATTCCAATCGATATAAAACTTTCAAAATCTTATTTTTTCAACAAAAGACAGAATTGCAAAAAGTTTGAGGCTGATCAGATTCAATTTAAGGGTACCTCCCATACAAATGTTCTGATAATATCGACCAAAAATTGATATATTTGTATGGGAGTACTCGTATTTGTATTCCGATTGGCATGAAAATTGCTAGAATTCAATTATTTACTAAAAAAAATGGGATTCTGAAAGTTTCATGTTGATTGGAATATCATAAGTGTATTTGTATGATATTTAATTTCCTTGAACTTGCAACTTGCTCATTAAACTTGATTGCGAATTTCCTCCGAACCAATGCACATATTTTTACCATCTAGCACTTAAAATCTTCGTATAGTCTTCCTCTACAACATTCAAGACTGAAACTATACCAAACACAACGATATGCTGTATTTCTAGTGGCTCAAAGCGCTAAAAAGTGGACCAAACGTCTTGTTTTTGGATTGAACTTTTCACAAAAAGTGCTATAACTTTGGACAGAATCGAGATATTGAGACAAATAGGAGCTTAAATAGAAGGTTTTGAGGTCCTCTACCAGAATCTACTATTACATTGTAGAATATTATTTCAAAAATATTTAATTTTCGAGACAACAGTACCTTGAATATGCTAAAATCGCACCTGTGCTATATCTCAAAAACTAAAGCTGCTAGAGCCAAACCAAGGCCAAATTCGGATTCAGCGGCCCCAAAAACCATGATAAAGAGTCTTCTACTCTTGGGGTGTTTTTTTGATGTATAGTAGTGTTATTATCGAATAAATCGTTGAAATTCCAACGTACGACTCACCTAAAGTAAATTATATCGACCAAAAACATTATTATTTCAACAATCGAAAATGTAATCATCGTTAACGGCGGCGGACAAACAGTCATGCTTCGTTCGTAGGCACCATCTGTAAAAACAAACAAAACGCATGATAATTCCTTTGTTTACTTTGGTTGAAGATTTCGCAAGCGAAAAGAAAGCGATGATTCACGATGATGAGTCAAATGAATGCATATTTCTGGTATGATGAAAGGCAGACGATTATTTAGTTAGACGATGAAACAAATGACCAGTTAAAGATATAAATTGAGTTTGCAACCACCCCATATGATTGTATTTAGTTTGCTTTAAATGTGTGCATGAATTAACGCATGATCACAATGGAATTTCCATTGAAGCAAAGCGATTGATATAGATGAGAAGCCATTAGCCATATAAAGCACGTTGTAATAGTAACAAACCTATTGATTCGAAAGATAGCTGCGATTGATTAAGAGAGCGTTGGTTAAAACTACGCGCGCCAACCACATCTGTTTGGTTAATTAACTTCTTGATTAGTGACAGAATATTTTAAAGATAGATTGTTCTGAGAAGTTATTGTTGTAAAGAGAAATTGTTTGGTTTAGAGAGAGAGAGAGAGAGAGAGAGAGACACGCGTTTATGCGTGTTTCATTTTTACCAGTTTCATCTGCTTCGGGACGATGTGGTGATGGCACTAACAATTTGCAATACTTGAACACCAAACGCGAGAAAAGCCATTCCTGTCTTAAACTGAGTTGATAGAACTCCTCAAAATCGAGAGCACCATCCGAATCTTCGTCCGACATCCGAAGAATGTATTTCGCCAGGTAGTCCGGTAATTGTCGACATTGGAAATTTTTAATGTGTTGCTTCAATTCGCGTATATTCAAGCGACCATCGTTGTTAGTGTCCAGCTAAAAAGAAAGGATTTTAATGCAATTGCTTCATTTGAAATGGTTTCAGCTAAGCTAATTAGCTTTGCCATCTTTGCAGAGATAGGACAAAACAAGCCAGAACTAAAAAGACCAAAAACATCAAATAAAATCAGAGATTCTAACCGATTCGAAAATTTCATGCATTTTTCGGCGGTCAGCGCGTTCTTCTTCTGAGGTCATTCGTTGTAAATTATTGTGCTCTTGATCAATCTCTTGTCGCAGTCGTTGTAAGCCCTCCGTATCATAGCTCACCATTCGTTGCATTTGAACTTGTTGCGTTTGTTGCGCCATTTTGTCAACTCGTTGCGAAATGCCGTACACACGATCAAAAAATAAAGCCGTTCACCGAAAACGAATTCGTTGTTGAAGATTTGAGCCGAAGGTTCTTTCGGTTGAATCAATTAAGTGATAATTATTGTTTAAAATTTGGGATAATATTCCAAATGGTGATAAATAATTAATAAATCTAATTAGAGATAAGTATGCACACTAAAATGCCACTATTTATCACAGTTCTCAACAGCTTCGGCTTCACAACTAAGCACTTCAGTCTTATTCACTAGTTCAGTTTTTTATATTATACCAACAATATAATCGAATTCTCTCTTTTCACTTATCAGCACAATGATGAAGTAATCGATTTTTAATCGATTTCGTCCGACAATAGAATGCGAAGAAAGAATTTCAGCACGTTAACAAAAATTTCGTTAAATTCATACTGCACGCAGCACTCCGTTGTGGTTTTGCTTTATCGGTTCACTCTTCACATTTGCGATCTTCAATTGAACTACATTCAAATCGGCTATTGGGTTGGGTTCTCCAATCGAACACAAATCGTTGTTAAGTGTTTTTGTAGGTTTTTTCAAATTATTCACCATCACAAACACAATACTTGCTTTTTGTATTGTAAGCACTTATACGAATAATTTTACGTTGGGAAATTGTTTGGATAATTGACTGACTCGATCTTTGTCCGCTAAATGACACCGACAACACAAACCTTTGTCACAACAAAAACGGTGCGAACTGAACAAGCGCTTGGTCTGAACTGAAGGCACGTCGTTGCATGTCTTCGCTTTGATAATTATACCAACGACAAAAAGGGAGGGAAACTTCATTATCTTGACGGATAAAAGCTTCTTGAGATTACCGCAAACAAACACATACGGTGGTTTTGCAATGTTTTTAGTGGATTTCTCTTGTTTTTGGTGATTGGGGGATTTTTTTATGTGAAATATCATGGGAATATTGAGATATTTTTGTTTGATTGTGTGTAAAAATGTGATTAAATGTTTGATAATAATCGAGCACTTTGAGTGGCTTCCCAATAGATGGAGCGTCAATCGTCCGCATTTCGAAGCTTCAATTCAAAGTTAAAGTACATGTGGTGCCACATATCGAACATACATATCCACCAGGTGGATTGTGGCCTAACTAACCGCATTGGTCAGGTGAAATACGAATTGTATGTGTTTCTAAGCAACGAAATTGTATACAATTGGAACTACACGGAATTTCTGTGGAAAGGTAATCAGAAATTTCATCGACAGTAAACAAAGGGTGAGGCCACATTTCACATCGCAATGTTTTTGAATAAGAGTTTCGATAAGAAAACGGGCATTTATCGTACCAAAGATAACATTGATAGCTTTCGATTCAGGTATGCATATTACCATTTTACGATTGGTTTTAAGAAATACAAATGGAATCAATTTCATTTTTCCCTTCATAGAATTACACTGAAAACGTTGCATTCGTTTGTAAAAGTGCCAAAATTTAATGCAGAACAATTGAACGATGCCGAAGATTTGGACGAGATAGAATTTTACAACTTTCAGTGGCAACAGAAAGTGTTCAGCTCGGCGGAGATAAAGTTGTACAGCGATTTGGAGAATTGTAAGAATGACCGAACCAAAGAGTATCACAAACGAATCACCGAAGTTAATCGATATTTGGATGAAAATGGTGCCGTATGCTATACGGGCAAAATATTTAGCTATATCAATGAGGATAACTATCACGAACGCGATTCTGAGCGAAACGAATTGGCTGAATGTATTGAACGGTATGGACAATGGGAGAATAACAGCGAATTTGGTGGGTAGAGCAAAATTTGGATGGAATTTTTTTCTTGTTCGGTTCAGTTCAGTTTCATTTGTACCGATGAATTTTCGCATACTAAATGTGCTCATAAATTGTGTGTGTTCCATTCCATTCCGTTTCGTTTCGGTTCCATAGTGGGTGATTTTTTCCCAGAGGATGCAAATGTCGATGAAATTCAGCGTGCCCGCTTCAAAAACCTTGGCCAATTCGAATGCATGTACATAATGGCCGATTTGAAGAAAGAAATTTTATTATTCTCCATAAAATATCGATCTAGCGATGGTCTACTACTAATTTATCCCGATTTAAATAACATTGACGCAAATCCGTATCTCAAAGAGATCGTCTTCGACAGTCGAAATCTGTATCAATTTGCCATGGAAAATTTATCAATGGATTGCCAGAATGAAGTCGTTCAGTTGAAAAATGACATTGAGTTGCTGGCGAATAAAGTGAGTACATCAACGTCGAACATGTCCAACGAAAATTGAAAATAATTGATTGTTTGATCCTTTTCTTGACATTTTGACATTAAGTTATCGGATTTATTTATTAAAACGCCACTATTATTCGATGTGCCGGAGAAACAGTATGCGACCGTGTGCCTGTATTTCGAGATTCAGATGGCGGAAAACTTTGAGTATGATGCCATTCACATAAAATATGAGATTCATTTGCCCGATGATTGCCAAACTATTGACGGAATGTCACAATTAAAGGGATGCACACATTCATCGCGTCGCGATGCAATTGATGGTTGCTGGTTGATTGGCTACTGTCACGAGTTGACACTATCGTGTCGACTCGATTGCCTACGTAAAGGTATACATGCCTTGTCACACTCAAGATGGTGTGTGGTGATGAATGGTTGTTTTAAACATTTTCCGCGTTTTTTTTCTCTTTTAGAAACAATAAAAATCGCGTATGAAGTCATTTCAATCGATAGCTGGAGTCGTGAACGAAGTGAAGGCTATGCCGTGTATAGTGTACCGTTGTTGGCTGGTAGTTTTGTTGAAAAAATCGATTGCTATCGTGATTTAGGTGACAATACCTGGTTGAATTGGATTGAACGGTATTTCATTGGAGGTCGACGAAAAGTTCAAATTAACAATTTCCACGGCATTACCGCAAACAACACTAAAAATGCATTGAATCGATACGGTAACTGTACACAATCCACCGGTCAATTAAGTATTAGGCGGAATGTTGTGATTCAACGGAATATTGATGAAATCGATGGTGGCAATTTCGAAAGGAACCAAAGTGTGCGTAGGAGTCAAAAACTTCCGACAATCAGTAGCGTATTGCTGGCCTATCATCGAGCTCGAGAAAAACTGGAATCCATAGCTGACATAAATGACTTTTAACCATCGTCGCTCGCCATAAAGATTATTAATTTTTTTTCTGTGCTTTTCAAATTGGTATTGGTCAAATGTGCAGTTTTTTTTGTGTGTAAATAAAAAAGTATATTCAACAAAAATAAACTCTTTTTTTCTTGTCATTTTTACTTTTCCGTACACACCGTGTCAAGGGAAAGTATAGGAATTGATCCCGAAAACTTTTTTCGCAAAATTGGCTTAGATCATCATAAAAACTCATGAAACGCGTAGAAAACGCGCACTTTTTGAGACACTTTTCCGTTCGTGTGCCGTCGTCGTCGTTGGTGTTTGTTAACACGATAACTCAAAAAATAATTGAGATAATCAAAATCTGGAAATGCCAAAAGTTTTGTATCTGAAAAACTTAGTTAATGTTCGAAGATGAGCCATTTTCAATTTGATCCTGGGGTACTTGCCCTAAGGAAAACCTCAAAAAATTGACACTTTTGTATGGGAGGTACCTGTAAATCGACTCTGATTGGCTTCAAACTTTCTGGGATTTCATTTTTTGGGATAAAAATAAGATTCTGAAAGTTTGGAACCAATGGGAATCGATTTACGGGTACCTCCCATACAAAATTTTGTATGGGAGGTACCCACTAATCGATTCTGATTGGCTTCAAACTTTCTGAGGTTTCAGGTCGAAGTTTTCTTGGAAAAAATTGAGGGTCAAAAACCAAACTTCTGCAAATGCGATCAACATGAAACTTTCAGAATCTTATTTTTCTCCAAAAAATGAAACCCCAGAAAGTTTAAAGCCAATAAGAATCGGTTTACGGGTACCTCTCATACAAAATTGTCGAAGTTTTAGTTAAAGTGACCAATTTTTCACTTTATTTTCATTATTATATTTTCACTGCCTTTATTTCAAGAAAATTCACAAAAAATAACCAAAAGTACCTACGTACAACGGTACGGAAAAGTTCGGGATTACCAATGTAATTCTTTTTATAAACTGAATAAATCCATCGATTAAGTGTGATATTAAAATGCTTCCAAAAACTCGGTTCCATGAACATATTTATTAAACTTGCGCTGTGTGGTTGCTATTATCTCTCTGGTGTGAAGGGCCGTTGTAATGCCGTCTTATCTTCTATTTGAAACCATGAACGGACAAATAACGTATTTTTTATGGAACGATTTAAATTCCATTTATTGACGATATTCCATGGCATAAATTCGATCTCGCGTTGGCTATCTGGTTTGGTTGGGTCATAAGCCGTAGCCAAAAGAAAATGGAGCCAATGTTTGTGTCCACAGTTTTATCCACGGTGCCTCTGGCTTACCACCAATTTATTTTCTACTTATGGATTAGTGGGCATGAGAAAAGAATTTCTACAAAAGAAGCTTCATTGTCGGTGGATTTCTTTTCTTCTTTTCTTCTCTTCTTTCGTGGTCGACATTAGCCATTTCCATCGAACTTGGACGTCGATTATGTACTTGTACATACAAATTTTATATTTCGCAGACGAAATGATCAGAAAATGCTGAGCAATGGTAAATCTCACTTGAAATTGATATGACTTTTATTTGAGCATGCGATGGCTTGATTTCAAGTTGAAACGCTGAGAATGAGACAAAAATCGATAGTTGTCATCATTCATTTGGTCCGAACGAAGCAGTGCAATAGCAACAGAAAAACCATGCTGTAACTAAAAAAGCCAATTAAATAGACAAATTATGTCATTAGTTGTGATTGTGATAAACAACATTTGCTACTGAAAATGTGCACTGGCATAGAGCATGAGCATACGTTCAATTTCATTTCGTTTAATCGAGAAAAATTGCAGAAAATAGTTGTCGAGTGCTTTCGTGTTCTCCGGGTGACACATCCAAGATGTCGGTCGTTGACAACCGGTGAAATCGTTTGATGATGATGATATTACGTCTGGCGCGGCCGCTATTGTGTAGCTATTTTTGTTGTTGTTGTTTTTGCTGCTACTGTTCCTCTGTTGTTATTTCATTTTTGTGGTTTTTTTTCATGGTTAGAAGGAGCGTGTATATATGGTGCAAAGCCCAATGTATACTATTTGTGTGAATGCCGTTGCTACTGGTTGCCGGAAGAAGAATTCGTCAAAAAGTACAAACACCATGTACATATAGATATATAAAGAATTTACGTAACGAAATAGAAAATAAAAGCGGTACAATATCATGACAATAGATGGTGATACACATAGAGCAAATGCACAAATACACATAATATAAATTGCACATAACATAATTAAGATTGAAAAGACGATTTATTCACGCTCGCAATATCTCAAATAGGAATTTCCATGAGCCAACGACATGCTTTTGATTCCACGCGATGAACGCATTTAATACTGTCTTTGAGTGCCAAGTATTACTTGGAATAGAAAATTAAATATCCATTACTAAGGTTACAGTTGTGTGTTAATAATAAGAAGCTCATTGTTCGGTCTACTGAATCTGAAAAATGTTGATTGAGGCATTAGCTCATGCTCTCAATGTGCTGGAGATTTCATCAAAGGTGCAACAACCAGAAAACGGAGGAAATCATTGCGCGACTGGAGTCTTTTTTCTGAGCTATTACTTTTTATCAAAAAAAACGAGAAAAATTTCATCATTTTTATTTTTAATTCGTTCGTTAATTAGAAGTGTGCAAAATGCGAAGGAAATTCAAAAAATAATTTCGCCAACGCGTGCACCTTACAAGAAAACAACAACTTGATAAAGCAGTCATGCTGTTCTTGAAAATCACCAAAAATCGAAAGAAAAACGCCATGGAGAATGAGAAAGAGAGAACAGAGAATAACAACGAAACAACGTTAGAAATGATGAAAAATGAAAAAAGCACCAGAATGAGGCCACATTGTATAAATATTAATGTCATTCGTCAAGAAGTACGTTGTACACATACACACGGTGCTTTTCTATAGCCACCAAATGAAAAGCAGTCGCAACAATAATAACAAATCGTTTTCATGTAGAAAATCACAAACAATTGACACGCAGCTAGTAAAACGATGGAGAACATAGTAAAATGGTCAGAATGGATAACGACAGAGACAGAGAAATGCATATATAGATATTTATTAGAAATAGAGAAGAAAAGCGACGACGACAACAAACATAAACGCACAAACACATAAACATACACACACAGGCACATATTGAAACAACGAAAACTGTATTAACGCCATTAATAAAGTGCAACGATGCGACGGTCGTCGAACTTTTCCATGTTTAATGTTCCATTTTAACACATTTTCTACATAGATCGAATAGCAACGAATAGAGCTAGAGAGAGGACAGAGGACGTTCAATGCATGAACTATCTCGTTTTCGGTGTGAGAATGCCCCGTTGTGTGCTCGTTCGCCATATCGATTGTTATACAAATTTTGTAGTGCTTTAAGTTGAGACTCGAATATGTTGTGTCTTTATTGTAAACTAAATTCACTCAAATACACTTACTCTCTGTCTATCTCACTCACTCCATCCTTGCCTTGTTCAATGTTTATATTTGTACTTTTATCAAGTAACGTTCGCATACAATTTATTCAACATTACACTACCGTCCAGCCGAACATCATTTGAATGCTGAAAACGACGTGTTTAAAATACATAAAACAAACAGATTCATAAGTGTTATAAAAAATAATATTGATAAATGCAGGGAATGTCTGCACGTAGATTTATTCAAATAAATTAAAAATATCAAATAAATTTATTCGATATTGTTCATGCGTTGCATTGTTGTAACGCATCTGCAGTACAAAGTTCATATTCCCTTCCGGATTTGCCAACTCAAATTTGAGGGTATTCTGAACGGAATTCGGCAAAAATAATGCGATTTAGCATCCCAAAGGGATGCGTACTGGAGGACTTTACTTCCAGAATACAATGGACCAGGTCAGATCCACCTGCTCCACAGGATTCACTTCCACTGGAGAACTTTGTACTGCAGATGCGTTACAACAACGCAACACATGAACAGTATCGGATAAATTAATTTGATATTTTTAATTTATTTGAATAAATCTATGTGCGGACATTCCCTGGATAAATGCTTTGCTAGAATGACAGAGAGATAGAAATTGAACAGGAAAAAAAGTCAAGCAGGCAGCAACAGCAACAACAACAATTTGTTAAATGTAAATAGAACTCTTCGTTTTGTGTGTAAATAAGCCGAGCGAGCGAGAGAGAGAGAGAGAAAGACGTGTAAATTGTATTCTAAAATTGTATGTGAATATAGCACGTCGAGTGGCGTCGTTCTTTTCCATTTTTTTTCTTCTTCTTTCGTTGATTTCTAATTTGCGCCATTCTGCAAAACGGAAAACGAAGAAATGACAGAGAAAAACATACAATGAATAAGTATTAAAATTTATGGATGAATCTTTTGATGCGGTGTGGTTCAGTGTATTTCGCCAGCGCGAAGAACTGAAGTCATTGTGCATATAATATGCTTTGCTGGGTATTTGTAAGCAACATTTATAATTTACATTTGAATAAAACATTAGTGCAAATTGTTTGGCCGGGTTGTTGTTGTTGTTGTGTGTTTTTTTGCGCTGTCTCGCTCTCTCACTCTCTCCCATCGCAATTCGTGTGCTATTGATGGAATTAGCGTAGCTGTAGGCCAATAATGTAATGGATGTATGCACAATTGCCTGATGAATGGGAATAACAATGTAATTTTCCGATTGCCCGGTCATTCGTTGTGTAGGCGAAACAAATGAAATCACAGCGACATTAACTGAAACATTGATTTTATTACACATTGACTTCACATTCGCAGCATGAGAGTATAGCGAGTGTATATCGCGTATAAATGCGTAACAGAATGTGCGCCAAAGTACAAAGTACGAAATGCAAGCAATTTCGCCTGTTGTGCATCAAAACCCCATAAAAAACCAGCTCGTTATAAATGAATCAAAGATAGAGACAGACAGATAGCAATGGCATGGCATTAAACATCTGCAAATAGCGGTTTTTTTTCGATCTGTTTTTTCGATTGGGGCCGTATGCTTTCTACACTGTTCAGCGTTTTGTCTCCTTCAATCGCAGGCTAAGTGCAGAGTCAAAGGAAACGATCTGCCACGAACGCATAACGATATATATTTAGATGAACAAATGA